TATTTCAGCAAAGGTCTGATTGGCTTAGTTTAGGAGGATTTGATCCAAGGGACAGGAAGTGTATCTGGATAGTCTCTTAAAGTTATACCCTGCCTTATTATTCTCAAAGATCTCCATAACTATAGATTACAGTGAATGGGTGTGGGGTTTTTTTCCTATCGAACAAGGAGGCTAGGCTTGATGCTCCATGAAGTCACTCCCAACTCCATGATTTTTAGGAAGGGCTTTTTTTCTTTTCCAAAAGCAAAGATAGGCTAATATCCAGATGCTGTATTAATTGAGCTCATAGCTTAAGAGGGATTGGGTAGCTTGTCATGCTGTGGAGTTCCACCTGGTATATTTGGGAAAGCCAGTTTATTAGCCAGTCCTTTTCAAGAGAGGAAGATCATGTGCCCACCTCTCTATCTCTCTTTGCATCTCTTGCGTCCTTAAGATAGTCTACTACTGGTTGGACTCTGGCTTCACAATGAGAATAGTCATCTCTTGGACTGGGCCCAAGACCCAAGGTTCCCCCCACCCCCATTACTAGCAGGGCACCCTGAGAATGGAGAGAAAGATAAGGGTTAAGTAGTTTTCTGGTTATAGCAAAGGGGTTTCTAAAAGAGGTTGTTTTTGAGAGGTGATGGCATGAGCGCTAACAAATTTCTTGCTGTGTCCTTTTCTCCGTTTCCTTTGGCAGTTCGAATATGGTGGTGAGGGATCCAATGAAGCTGATGTTGCCATCCAACTGACATTCTTGCGCTTGATGTCCACTGAAGCCTCCCAGAACATCACCTACCACTGCAAGAACAGCGTGGCTTACATGGACCAACAGACCGGCAACCTGAAGAAGGCTTTGCTCCTCCAAGGGTCCAACGAGATTGAAATCAGAGCAGAGGGCAACAGCCGCTTCACCTATGGAGTCACTCAGGACGGTTGCACGGTGAGCCTTTGGGCCTTGAGTGGAATAGCCAGCCTGCACCAAGTCCAGGGGGGACTAAAGGCTTTTAACAGTCCATACTTAGACGAGAATTTTAAAATGGATTACAGTGTTTTACTAGTGCAGGGCTTCCCCCTTTTCTCTCTGTACCTGTTGATAGCTGGGAAAGGAATCAACATAAAAGCGCATGTTGACAGACTGGGGACTGGTAAACCAGGGCTAGGCAGTTGTGGGTGAACAAGTAAGGGTTGCAGGCTCCAGCCTCCAATCCAGCTAATGAAATCTTGATGAGGAAACATGTCTCACAGCAGGTGTGCCAGATTGTTGTGTGCATGGAAGCTGGGATCCCTTTCGTGAACCAAAAGGGATTCCCATATGCCACAAACTACTTATCCATGAATGCAGTAGAATCCGTATAATCTTCCGTTGGCTTTCATTGTTTGGATCAGGGCCATTAATTATGTTATTTAATTTTCAAGCACATTCTGGACCCTAACCTAAGGAAGTTTTTAGAATTCTACCATGCAACAATAAGGCTTATCTAGGAAGACAGCCAGGGCTAGAGGCTCCTTAAGGGACAGGGTCATATGGACAAATTGTACTGTTCCCCAGTCCTTCCTCTAGCCCTGAGGGCCTGTGTTCTGTTTGCATATGGTATGGACCACGGCAGTGTTTCCAAATTCTTGCATTGGCTTTGCCTGTTTTCTTTTATGCTGCCCTTAATCTTCAGAATTCTTAATAGTGGAGTAATGTTGCTCCTCTGAAAACCTGCCAGAAACATGCAGAATGCCTCAATATCTTGCCAAAAGGAAGAGTCAATAGCAACCAAGATGGAGACGTGCCAAGAATATGGAACCACTAGTTAGGAACACAGCTGGCCAAAGGAGGAGAGTTTAGACGGGGACTAGACTAACACAGAAGCCTTAGAAGTATGTTAGGCCTCATACAAAATTTTAATTTGTTCTTGTTTTCCCTTCCTCTGCAGAGTCACACCGGCAGCTGGGGACAGACAGTCATTGAATACAAGACAACAAAAACTTCCCGGTTGCCCATCATTGATGTGGCTCCCATGGACGTTGGTGCCCCAGACCAGGAATTCGGCCTTGAGATTGGACCAGTCTGCTTCTTGTAAACCCCAAAGGAAACCTGACAGTTTAAAAAATAAAATAAAAAACAGCCAAAAAAGAAGGAAATTTCACATGGACTTGAATTTGTGTCTTTTTCTATCCATCATCTCTAAAACTATTTTCGTTTCCGTTAAAAAAAACAAAAAAGCATTAAACCAAAAAAATAAAAATAAATGACTTTTCAAAAATAATTAAGGAAGTGCATCCACTTGCTTGACTTTTTTTTTAAATTAAAATCCCCAAAGACAGAATGGTTTGATTTTATCTTTTTTAAAAACAAAAAAA